CTTTCCAAATCAATTGTAAAAGAAATGTCTATTGGTTTACAATCTCATCTTAATTTTATAATTAAGGCGATACTTTTTTAATCTTTTCTCCACTCTACCCATTTTTAATAGCACTAGAGGAGTATTGTCTCATCTTTACTTGTTTCCATTAATGCTTGAGGCGATTGCTCGTATGAGAGAGCCAATCTAAACTCGTGTGACTTAAAAAATTGAACTTTATAAAAGTAACATACATAACATATAAATATATATCACATTGCATTTATAATAAAATAGTACAATTGTTCATTATCATGACAAAGTTACAATCTATGCATTCCAAGAGATTTAACATGTCTAAGATACATATCTCTTAGTATGGGTTTTGTGAGAGGATCTGCTACAATTTGATGCGTAGATATATATTGTACTAACACTTTGCTTTTTCAATGATGTCTCTAACATAGTTATACTTGGTGTCAATATGTTTGGTTCTACTATGGTATTTGGGATCCTTGGTATAAGCAATAGCTTCCTAGTTGTCATAATAGACGGTAATAGGCCCCAAGCTATTACCATTAACTTTTAAATCTTCAAGGAATCTCCTTAACTAAACTCGCTTCTTGCACAAAGAATCGAACATGCTATAAATTCAGCCTCCATAGTAGACAAAGCTATGCAAGTCTGTTTCTTGCTTCTCCAAGAGATTACTCCATTATTGAGTAGAAAAGCATAACCGAAGTGGATTTACGCTCATCAATGTCTCCTTCCCAATCAACATTTGAGTACCCATTCAAATGTAAATTTCTCCCTTGGTAACGCGGACAATAATCCATAGTGCCTTGAGATATCTCAAAATCCTTTTAACATCCTTTCAATGTTCTTGACCAGGATTTGATCGAAATCAACTAACCAAACAAACGGCAAAACATATATCCGGACGAGTACACATCATTGCATACATAAGGCTTCCAATCGCACTTGAATATGGTACTTTAGACATCTCCTTTTTATCTTGTGGAGTTTTAAGACATATTTTACTACTTAAAGACTCGCCTTTTGATACGGGGGTGTCCACGGACTTACAATTACTCATATGGAAGCATTCTAGAATTTTCTAGATGTAATGTTCTTATGATAGAGCTAGAAAAGTTTTTGAATGATCTCTAATGATCTTGACTCCTAAAATCTAGTTTGCTTCACCCATGTCCTTCATGTCAAAATTTATGGATAACCATGCTTTGATAGACATGATAAAATCTTTTTCATTTCCCGGCTATCAAAACATCATCAACATATAGAGATAGAATTGCGAACTTCTCTTCGATTCTTTTAATATAAACATAATGGTCTTCCTCAATCATCTTAAAATCATAAGTCAATAATGCCTAATGAAAATGAAGGTACCATTATCCGGATGCTTGTTTCGGACCATAGATAGATCTTTAGAGCTTGCAAAATTTACGCTTTTGGCCTTTAACAATGAAACCTATAGGTTGTTCCATATAGATTTCCTCCTTTAACTCTCCATTAAGAAAAATTTTTTTTACATCTATTTGATGCAATTCTAAATCTAAATGTGTAACAATGGCTAAAATTAATCTTATCGAGGTAAACCTAACAACGGGAAAAAAGGTTTCCTCATAGTCTATACCCTCTTTTTGGGTAAAACCTTTAGCCACAAGACGAGCTTTATATCGTTCAATTGATCCATCTACCTTTTGTTTTATTTTAAGAATCCATTTATTCTTAATGGCTTTACAACCTAGCGGAAGATCAACCAAACTCCACACCTAGTTTAGTTTCATGGATTCTATTTTCTCTTCTATTATAACTTTCCATTTCTCTTTAGCAGGACATGTTAGTGCCTCTTGTACTATTCTAGGTTCTTCATCATCTTGTAGGGTTACAATGTAGGCTTCATTCTCAATTTCAAATTGTTTTTAAGGAATTCTCGATCGATTGCTCCTACATAAACGAGGATCATTGCTAACACCAATCAAAATTGGATCATCCTCATTCCTCCCACTTAATTGAGATAGTGGTGTTGTGCTTTCAAAACTCCCACTAGGAAGAAGAGAGTGTTGCACATCTAGTTGAGTGTCGACTTCGATCGAATTTTAGGCATATCATCATCTTCTTCTATCTTAAAAAAATCAAGATCATTTTTATTTATCTCATTCTTTTTAGGAAAAAGATCTCCTAGAAAAGTGACATCTCGAGATTCTATTTCGGTGGTTCATCCATCGAAGTTCTCACCAATGAAAACGTATCCCTTTGAGTATTCAAAGTATCTTATAAAGATGCATTTCTTCCTTTGTGCCCTAATTTACCGTACTTATGAGAATTATTATGAATATATGCGGTAGATCCCCATGGGTGCAAATGATGCAAATTGGGTTTACGGCCCATCCATAACTCATACGGTGTAGAGGCTATCGATTTTGACGAGCAAATGATTAAGTATATAGACCACAATCATTAGCGCATCCGTCCAAAACTGAATTGGGAGATTTGTATGTGCCATCATAGATCCAACCATATCTAATAATGTACGATTCCTACGCTCTGCTATACCATTTTGTTATGGTGTTCTAGGAATCGTAAGTCGCCTAGTTATTCCTTTCTCATTACAAAGATCCTTAAATTGATCCGATAGATACTCATGACCTCTATCGATCCTTAAAGTTTTAATTCATTTGTCTAATTGATTCTCAACCTCGTTGATATATTTAATGAAGCAATCTATTGCTTCTAATTTGTGGGAGATCAAAAAGACATGACCAAATCGAGTGAAGTCATCTATAAAAGTAATGAAATAGAATGCCCTATGTCCGGCTTTAACATTCATAGGACCATAAATGTCCGAATGTATTAATTGTAAAGGAAATGTTACCCTCTTGGCTTTACCAAATGGTTTTCTAATTGCTTTGCCTTGTAGGCAATATTCACAAGTAGCTAAGTCAATTCTTGTGATAGATCCTAGAAGACCATCTCGAGCCAACCTTTCCATTCTATCTTGCCTTATATGCCTTAATCTAGCATGCCATAGATTAATATCTATATTATCATTGCTAGAACTAGTTAGCATAGAAAAGCATACATTATTATTCATATTATAATATTTGGTGTTCAATATTATAAAATCATCCATTACATAACCAGTTCCTAAATAAACAAAACCGAGTAAATATGTCTAAAATATTACCATAAAAGTGCAAATCATAGCCTAGTCTTAATAGAACAACTATAGAGACAAAATTTCATCAAATTTCTAGAACGTAAAGGACGTCATGTAAATACGGGGTCTTTCCTTCTTGAAAATTCAACTTGCAAGTACCAATTCCAAGCACTTTGACCCTTGTGTTATTACCCACATATATCCATCGCGTCCCACTTGGAATCCGACAAAATTCCACAAACGCATCTCTTTCTCTAGCTACATGGTGGGTGGCTCCCGAGTCTACAATCCATAAAGGATGGGATTAAGCAAACATTATAGTACTAGAAACATAAGCATTAGTAGAGTAGGTGTTTAAAGACAATACCTCCTTCGGCCCATTACACTCGAGAGCGAAGTGATCCAGCTTGCCATAATTGTAGTAGGTCATTTTGGTCTTATCTTTCTTTTCATTGCGCTTTCCTCTTTTGCACTTAAAAAACTTGGTTCTCTTTTTTGGTCCCTGTCCAATCTCTTTCTCTTTCTTATTTTCGCGCCACTTACACTTAAAACCCGAAGTTTTCTTAAAGCTAGACTCGACCACATATGCTTAGTGCATTTGGCTTTGCTACTTCAAGGCGCTCATCTTCTAGCTCAATATGGTGAGTAGCGTCGGCAAATGTCCCGATATTCTCATTGTGAGTTATGTTCACTTTCATATGTTCCCGGATATCGGGAAGAGATTGGACAACGAGCATGTACTTGTTGTTCATCCGCAAGACATACCTAGCTTGCTTCGGTTCCGCAATCATGTTTGACATATCCCTCGGGTGTTGTTTCATAGATTTGTTTAGAACCTTCTTATAAGTGTCGAACTTGATTGTCAACTCGCCTTAGTTTGGAGACGAGTGGTCCCTCCAAACTTCTTCCTTGGTGCTTGCCTAGATGGTATAAGCGGTTGGATAATTTTGGTACTTGAAAACCGGATCATCTTTCATAGAGCCGATTAGGATTCCCTTTGCAATGGAATCTGCCTTCTTCCGAGCTTGATATGCTACGATATCTCGATGATACTAGGCAAGGTTGTTCCCATCATTAGGCCGAGGCTCAATCATCTCATGATTAATAGCCTCTAAAGCCTCTTGCTCTTCTAGGACATATTGTATCTTAACATGCCATATATTATAGTTGTCTCCATCAAGCTTTTCACCCTTATTCAAGTAAGCAATGACGTTCTTTTATTGCCATTTTGACAATCAATTATCGTAAAGAGATATTACATGCGATATCAATATTTATGTATGTATGTTTCACTAATTTCTTAAATTAGCTATTAAAATCTAACATAAAATACAGAATCGACGAGTTCATTAAATTCCATATCATCATCCATACTCAAATGTTTTGATTTTAATAACTTAATTTAAAAAAAAAAGTTACACCGTTTGAATTTATCTCATAATTTTCACTAAACATTTATAAAGCAAAAAAAAATATGAGAAAAATATAGTGCTTAATAAATAGCATTTGTTTATATATATAAATTCTAAATGAAAATAAAAATATGTAAACACATAACTCAAATTACTATATGTAAATAGTTCATGAGATTATACACAAAAAAATAATCATTCATCAATAGTCCCGACAAAATATTTTGGAATAATACTAATATATCAACAAATTTCACTCAACATGGTGCATTGACAGAGTTGGTTTGAGGTGACAGATTAAGCTTTTCAACACATACAATGTGAGTTCGAATCTCACTCCTAACAATCTGTTTTTCACAAAAAAAAAAAAAATTCCTTATCTATTTGAAATGGTCCTATATTTGCTTAACCACTAAATGTCTCAAAAGGTTAGCATGGCAGAGTGGTCTAAGGCATTAGATTAGAACTTTTACTTCCAAACGGATGTGGATTCAAGTCCCACTTTTGACAATTTAAATAGACTTTTTTTTTTTTTTGGTTTGTTATATGGATTTAGATGAATATCATGCGGATAACAATAAAATATTAAAACATTGATATATTAACAACAAATATTAGAATACTTGGATAATTTAACAATATTTAAGAATTTATTATGTAACAATAAATATCAAAACACCGACATATTAATAACATTCTATGGATAATCATGGAAACTATTAAATTAGGCTCGATACCAATGAAGATCATGATAAATACTTCAAAAATAAAATTAATTAGGATCCAAACACTTACTAGTAAATAGTTTCACTAGATCAAGACAGGTAATATTAAATCATTGTCTTTATTTTCACAATCCAAGTGCCAAGACAATCCTCCTTGTTTTAGTATTTTATCTCGAGGAGTCTTTGTATTCTGTATTTTTTCTATTCTCTCTTATCTGTCTCTCTTCTCTCTCTTTTCCCGAGACGCATATATATATATATATATATAGGAGTTCAAGGAGAAACAACACTTCCCTTATAACTGTTTTGACAGTTATTATTTTCTTATCGGGTCGATCCGTCATGGGCGACCCTACCCAAATTCTTTTATTTTTTCTAACATTGCCCCCACCCTATAATCTACTTTTATTATTTAGATAAACCAAAAGACCTTTAATTAGAATTTTTTTTTGACAATTGAAGTTAATAGGATTCCCCTTTCCATTTTTATTTATTGTTTCCAAGTTAGCAAGCAAGCAGGGGTCGGTGCCAAATCAGCAGCAGCTGGAATCCATTCATAAGTTTGTGGGTTTCCTTTGCATTTAAGACTTACGATGCATCGCAACTTCTTTGCTATAGAATCTTGTGATATATAGGCTGAAGGAGGCATTTCCATTTTGTTCAACCCTGTTCTTTTCCAATTCCCAATTCCAGGTATCCATTTTAATTTGATATTTCTCAAAAAAATTGTGTTTTTTTCTTTGGAGAAATTTTATAGATATAAATGGTGTAGTTTGGCCAAAACTTGTTTTCAAGCCTATGGATTCCTATTGTGTTAATTGTTTAGATAAAGTTGGCCAAAATTTTGTAGATACAGTTGGTCAACGGAAGAAGAATATTCTTGTACTGGAATTTGGTGATTACGAACTATTCTTATGTGACCCTACCAGGAGAGAAATAAGGGATCTTGCATTTCAGGGACGGAGATGGTGTGAAGGAGTTTATGCTTACAAGGAGAGCTTGGTTTCAATCGAGGACAAGAATGTGTGTGGGCAACATGAGGAAGCTGAAACAGATTTTGACCAAAAACAAAGTCAAGAGGATATGTAATAATTTTCTATGGTTGCAATTTAGAAATTTTAGTTGAGTTTAAACTTGATTGACGTAGAGAAGTTGAAGATGATCCTTGTGTCAATAAAACTCTTATTTGAATAATATGTTGTGTATTAAGCAAATTTAACACCAAATTATAATTATAATACATGACATCTGTAGGAAGGGCAGCTGTAAAGACTCCATAGGAAAACTAGTCCTTGGTCTGATTCTGAGACATTGATTCCACCCATGATGCTTGCACTGTCTACTTCACTCCAAATTCATCGCTATTTTCTGAAGTTCCCATTGAGCAACGTATCTTCAATTGATATATAAAACTTCTTCTTCAAGTACTGATCGGATTTACAAAGATGGACAAATCATTTTGTGGATGAACATTTAAGGCATCTTACACACTTGCTCTCGTGAATTCAATTTGATCCTGACAAGAAAAAACTTGCATTTTTTGCAGAAAGTAAAACACAATGACTTAAATGCAAAAAGGTTCAACCTCTTCTGTATTTGGTCAAATTGATCCTCTTCAACGATTAATATTAATAACATAGATGTAACCCAGTAAAAGCCAATTGTCAACCTCTTCGTTTGTAATTGGTAAAATTGATCCTCATCCAATATACAATTAATGAGTTGATCCAACTGATTCATATTAGATGGTTGCCAAGTGGTACCATGTCTTCTTCACTTGACCAAGTAGTCTTTTAATTTTCCTTTCTCAGAAGCTAGAAATTTTCTCTTTAATTTTATGGTTGTATTTAGAAGGGGAGAGGGTAGCTACTTATGATAATAACCGCAAATGAGTAGATGTTGTAATTCATATAAGTCTGTCAAAAAAAACCACAAAATTAAGTGATATTTAAGGCATATTTTCAACAAACCCACGATAAAAATTCAAGCTATTTTGGTTTGAAGAACAAGCATACAAGAAATCTTGTGATAGCATTGGAACAAAGACCCCACTATACATTAAGAAGATACAGAAATAGAATAAAACTTTACATGATATGTAAAATTATCCCTGAGCCAATAAAACTCTTGTTTGAATGATATGTTGTGTGTTAAGCAAATTTACCACCAAATTACTGCCTCTCCTTATAATTATAATGCATGACGTCTATTGCAATAACATAGGCTAAATTTACTTGATTAAGTCTAGCTATACTCTCCCTCTCCAATCCGATAGGCTAGGTCTGTCAGTTTGATGAATTAATGACTAATCTAAAGACAAAACATCCTTCAGATTGTTAAGCACGTGCTAAATTTACTTGTTTAAGTGTAGTTGTTTACCCACAAGGATCCAAGTGCACGTGCTAAATTTACTTGTTTAGTGTAGTTGAAGTACCCTTCAACAATTGAATAAATTAACTTGTTTAAAACTTTTGAGAGAAGTTCTCACATTGAATGAGAATCCTTTAGATTTTTCCCTTTCAAATACCCTTTTACAAAGTCTGCACTAAAAGTATGGACATTTATGGATTTACAAGTGCAAAAGCCACAACCTTTCCAGTCATTAACATAGTTAGTAGAGGAGTCTTGAAGGTCACTGAATATGGCTTTTAATGAAGTGGTTTGCTGTGATAAAGTTGAATTTGGTTTATTCAACTATAGGGTGCAAGGGTGTCTTATCTGTGATTTTGAAGAAGGTGATTTGATTCATAATTTAAATTTGCTGGTGATTTGAAGAAGGTGTTCTAATGAGAAGGGTAAAACTATATGTTAGATATGCCACCAGGTGAGTTTTGTTATTTCATATTTAGCTTCAATCTAGTTACTCTTCTTTGGTTACGGTGAATCTTTGTAGTTGACATGAGGCTCTAGTCTTTCTCATCAACAAATTGAATCATACCTTTAATGATATAAATGGATGTGTTACTATCTTTTGTTAGTTCAGGAGTTCAAGCCTGATTATACAGCACCACCACCCCTATTCCAAATTGTGTTTCCAATGAACTTCAGGTAATTTTGTGTACTCATTACTGATATCCAATAAATGGATGTGTTACTATCTAGTTTATTTACACTTGTAACGAAAGAAGCCAGTCCACTAATGCTTGCATGGTAGTATGTCTCTGTCTAATTTCATCACTCTGTAATGAAAAAAGCCGGTCCACTAAGGCTTACATGGCCTGTATGTCTGTCTAATTTCATCACTCCCTGGGAGTGATGAAAATAATGTGCTAATCGTAAGCAGTTTTTCAAATGTTCTTTGATTATAGCATTATGTGTTCATACTATTGATGCTGATTGTTTTCTGCATTATATTCATTTTTAGGATATTGATCATGTTGGGTATGTTCGTCAAGCTTTTGAAGGTGCATCTCTAACTATTTTTATCAATATTCTAGAAAGTGGTTTGTTGAAGAAATGTATGAGATTTGATGAAGACAAAGCACGCATTTCTTCTTGATAGCTTCTGTCTTATATGCTTTGTGATTTATTACTGTAACAAATGTAGATTATGAAGTAACAAAGCATGGTAGCATTTCCTTTCTATTTTAGAACTACGGAGGAAAGAAATGGAAAAGATATGGAACTAGATTATGCTTTGTTGTGCTCACTATGCTGCATCCATACGCAATAAACTCATCAAGAACCGGGCAAATTACTTCAATCTGCAGTTAAGGCTCCTCAAAGATTCAACAAGATGCAGCAAGCTGGTAAGCCTTTCTTCTTCTTCTTTTTTCTACGTCTCTCTGATCGATCGTTTATTAGCAACAAATTAAAAATAAGATTTGACATTTCCTTCCTTTCTTTTAGATCATAATGGCCATGGCAAAGTCGTTCTCATGCGAGTTCTTGCTGCCACCTTGTTAGGTTTCACCATTGCTGCTGCAGCTCACTGTTATCGGAGAAAATCAAGAGCTAAAAGAGACCAGCACATCATTCCACGCTTAGACAGGACAGAATCTAGCGGTTTTGGAAACCTTGAAAGATTCCCCCATTATGTTGGTAAATTAAAAACTGCTTCAGGAAACTATTTCTTTGTATTATTTTTTCTTGAGAAATAATTTTCTCAAAGTTAAGAAAAAAGAAATGTTACCCATATTTTTCACACTGTGGTGTTAATTTACAGCTAGGAAAATGGGATTTGCAGATCCAAATGAGTGTCCACAGCTATGCAAATTGGCTTATGATTATCTGGAAAGATCTGAAGGGTGTGAAAATAACATCTTTGACTATTTTGCTAATCTACCTGAGGCTGAATCTTTATTTGTGAAGTTGTTAGAAGAGTTTGAATGATGCATCCTCACTTACTTTGCATTTCATTGGAGCGAGGCATCTCGTATAATCAGTCAGGTATAATTATCATCCGTTTTTAGAATCAAATGGTAAAAAGAAGAAGAAGAAGAAGAGTGTCTTTTTATTGGCTGGTTATATTGGCAAGAGATGGAGTAGTTGGGTTGTTGACGGACCTAGATGGTCCTCAGGCCCGTTTCTGTAGAAATGCAGGTCTGGAATCGGAAGAGCTTCGAGCAATGGGTTAATTTGCCTTTGTGCAAAGGGCTGAGACGTGCATGGAGCGAATAACTCTATTGCCGAAGTAACTTGGTCGAAAAGACACAGTAATTCACTCAATCCATGGTCGGTTGAACTAACAGAACGGGGTTTACGACTCATGGTGCATTTCTTTTTTCCTTCATTAAAATTGTGGCAACTTTTTCTTTTTCCATATTATATAAGTATCCAATTAATAAATAAAGTATATACGTGTATGATTTATCATAAAAGGAAGGAAATAAATGATGGTATGTGTCACCACCTTAATTTTATTGCATAACAAGATGAGCTAATGAAATTAGATGGAGAGTTGGAACAAATATATTTTACACCATAACTGAACAGAAAAATTAAAATAATCAAAACTATATAGTATAAAATTATAGAATGATTTTTACCCGTATTTATATTATAATCTCTATTACTATAAAGAGAAAATAATTATGACTCAACTGTCACATTGTCTTTTTGCAAAACCCTTCACGACATATGCATGATTTTCAATATATATAGTACTCTTAGTATCTAAGCAATAGGAATAATCGTGCCACGTCGTTTGAAGGAAACTATCTGGTTAACAAATAATCTCAGCGTCAAAGTTAGGCTTTATTAACAGTTCTTGGCCTAGCCTAGGGTCAATATAGAAGTCGATATTGATAGACCCTTTGTGCGATTTTTCTGCTAAGGGTCCGCTAAATCAACTCATAAATTGAGAAATCGGTTTGAAATCATTTACAATTTTTCTTAAAAAAAAGAAACAAAAATAAAAGAAATTATTTGTTTCTACATACTATTTTAGAAAGCATTCAAAACTAACAAATAGTAGTCAAAAGTTTTCAAAATCAAATTTGTTTAACTATTTTGAACAAATGCTTAATACTTAAGTTTATTTTTATCTTTTGTCTTGTGGATGTTTCAAGACTTTTTTTTGTATTTGGAATTGGGAATGCATGTGGCATTAGACATCGTGTTGGTATGGTTGCACCAAATGATGTTGTTTTCCCTCCCGGCAAGACAAGGTCGGACCCATCACAAACCTCTTTCTTTCGGGTTTATAACCTCAAACTTATGATGATGCTGTTTTTTTGTTTACTTTTTCAATTGTAATAGACTTTTAATGGTTGTGCTTTTTTATTCTAATAACTACTTTTTTATTTTTTATTTTTTTTTAGGTGCTCGGTATCCCAACCAAGATTAACAACGATACTCGTGGAGATCATCTCCTCGGTCGAGTTGATCAAGAAGGTCGATAAGGTTGGCTCTTCCGAGGCTGCTCCACTAGCAAATATTGGTGTTAGGCCATTTTCTTATGGTTTGGTTGTCTTGTCTGTTTATGACAATGGCTTAGTCTTCGATCGAGATGCTTGACCTTACAAAGGTTGACCTTGCTCGAGAAGTTTGTTGTCGATGTCTCAATGATCGTTCCTTGTCTTTGGCCATCACTTACCCAACCCTTGCTACTACACCACACATGTTCATCAATGCCTACAAGAATGTTCTGTCTATTGCCATTCATACTTTATGCTTTCTTTCCTTTAATTGGAGCAAAGGCAAAGTCAAAAAGATACGAAATAGAATAAAACTTTACATGATATGTAATCTTTTTCAATGATTGCAATTTAGAAATTTTAGTTGAGTTTAAACTTGATTGACGTACGAAGTGGAAGAAATATTGTCCATTTACTTATTTACAAAACTAAAACTTTTACATAAATTCTTAACCATAGAATTTCTTCTTATCTAACGCTAATATTGTCCAATTACTTATTTATAAAACTAAAATTTGGATTTTAGTTAATGAGCTAAACCCATCTCAAAATAGCCCAAGATGTTGTGATCTGTGAGGTGAACCAACACATGAGTCAATGTTGCAAATCGACGAAGCATCGACCCATTTTCAAGCCATAGGCTCGTGAAAGGAAGACAATTGGTGACCATAAGCATCATGTATAAAATTGTTGGCTAATTCCTTACATAACTAATCCAAAACAATTTTCAATTATTCATCTACCTAATTGCGAGAAAAATGTTCACTCAAAGCATCAAGATAGAACTAAAATTCAACATTGATTATTTTTACGTAGGCATTTTCTTTTCTTTTCTTTTTTTCCACTAAGAATCCAAGATTTTGATTAAACCATGCAATGAAAATTTTTCATAACTATTTTCTTACAAAAAACACTAAAAGGCATGGGGATTTTACTATTGTTAGACTCGTTTATCCACTCTCGGTTCATCGTGGGTGGAGATTTTTTTATTTTTTTTTATTTTTTTTAATTTATTTTTTTTTTTCCTTTTACTCTTTACCCTAAATTACTCCTATTGCCACTCAATGGATTTGCGAAAATCCACATTTGCCCTTGACTAGTTCCCTTTTTAATTTTCTTCCCAAGTCTTTTTTCATCATTTCCCTTCTCTTTTTTTTTTCTTTGCATTATAAATGCCCTTCTCTTTTGGTTTTAATTATCCTCATTGCCACTTAGTGAATTTATGAAAATCCGCATCTACCTTTCACTTGCTCTCTTTTTTTATTTCTCGTTTAGCCTTTGGTCATTTCTTTTTCTTTTGTTGATGAAGCATTTAATGCTTCTTTGATTGCCAATTTTTTCTCCTCGTTTTTTGTGAGAAGAGAGAAGCTTCAAGAGTAAATTATAAATTAGTTCCTCTTTCATAGGGAAACGAATTAATTAGTCCGTTTGATTTAAAGAACTAACTTTTGTCATTCTAACCTTTTTTTTTTTTTTACTTTTTGTTTTTAAAAAATAAAAAATAGATAAAAATATGAAAAAGATTGATGAGAAAATAAGATATTTTTTTAAAATAAAAAATAAATTAGTCACGGCTAAAAAAAATCAAATAATTATTTTTTGAAATCAAAAGGATTAATTAATTCATTTCCCAAAACAAAAGGGATTGATTTATAACTTATCTATCACTATATTCACATCTACAACATGAAATAAATATATTTATATGATATATTTTTATATTTAAAAAATATATATTTTAGATCATATTACTATTATTATTTAAAATTATTTCTTCAATTTGTCATTTCTTATTAAGATTTTCATCAAATTAATTTTGACTTTTTAAAAATATTATTTATTGATAAACATGATTTATTGTTCTCTATGTATGGATTTTTAAATAAAATTTTACAACATGATTATTAAAAAAAATTATGCAATTTATATGATGGACTCTTATAATTTTTAAATGATAATAGCATATATATATATATATATATATATATATATATATATAGAGAGAGAGAGAGAGAGAGAGAGAGAGAGAGAGAGAGAGAGAGAGAGAATTTGTACTAGATTTTTTGAACAAAATAATTTACAAAATAAACTTTTAGTTATAAATCCATGGAGTTTTAGATTTTATTTTTAGATTATCACAAGTTTTTAGTTAAGAATCAAATACATAAGAATAAATTTTTTTTTAATAGAATTTTTTGAAAAATATATATATAACGAATAATTAGTCAAATGCAAATTTTTAATAAAAAATAATTATTATATTTTGGTGTATTCATAGTAAAACTTAAATTTTCAAACTAAAATAATTTTGCATGTTATTTCTAATCTGCGACGTAGCATGGGCGAAAAGCTAGTAATACTATAAAAAAGATGAGGTTGTGACTGTTCATAACCCTATTCACTTTTTTTTTTTTCAAGTTGTTGTGAATACATGCTTTTTTTCTTCTTTTTTTCCCCATCAATCTAGGTTCTTTTTTTTTATTCAAATTTTTTTTTAATTTTAATTTTTTTTCATTATAGTTTCTAAAATTTTAAAATAAAAATTTTAATCCCCTAACCGATGCACTACTCATGCTTTTTTTTTTCATTCGCTTTTTTCCATTAACTTATGTCCTTTTCTTTATTTAATGAGTTGTTAAAATTTTAAAAATAATCATTACTTTTTTTTACAACAAACCGATAATTATATAACATATAAGATATTTTTTACATTTATACAATATGTTTTTAAATTTTATTATGATATTTTTTTCAAGTTGTTTCACTATACATGTCTTTTTTCTCCTTTGCTTTTTTCCATCAATTTAGGTTCTTTTTTTTTTAAATTTTTAGGTTGTTTCATTTTGGTCTCTAAAATTTTAAAATAAAAATTTTAATCCTCTAACCGATGCACTACTCAAGCTTCTTTTTTTTTTCCATCAATTTATGTTCTTTTTTATTTTATTTAATTAGTTGCTAAAATTTTGAAAAATCAATCGTTATTTTTTTCTACACAAGCCGACGATTATATAACACTACTCATGCCTTTTTTTTTCCTTTGCTTTTTTTCATCAATTTATTTTTTTATTTAATTAGATGTTAAAATTTTGAAAAATCAATTGTTACTTTTTTCACACAAACTGATGATTATATGATATATACAATATTTTTTACATTTATACGATATATTTTTAGATTTTATAATAAATATAAATCGATGAGTGTCGAAGTATACCAAAAATAAACTCTATTCCCGGCAATCAACAATAATGTAGATAAGAGAATAGGGATCGAACCCACGAGACTGTTGTGATTAATAAATACTGAATAACAAAAGTAAAGGGGATTGTTTGCTGAAAATTCAAAATTAAACAAAAATAAATCAAAATAAAATTATAAATCGGTAATTAGAAACTCCGACCAAGGGTAATTCTTTCGTCCAAATGGGTGATTGATCATCGACAACAAAAGATGATACCATCAAACATTAATTAAGCAATCAAGTTATCCTCAAAAGCGAAAATATAACCTATTTCTTCCCTAAGTAATCAATTCGGGTGAAGCACTCGCATTAATCCTTGTTATCTAATGATTTGGTATATAAGCGATCCTCTATTAAATAACGAGCATTAGGTTATAGGAAGAGATTACTATGAACAACGATTTAACACAAGTGACAACCATTTAATCCATACTATGTTCTTAAGGATTAATAACGAAAGCTAGGATCAAATCATTAAAAATACATGTGCTACTATGAACAATATGATAACAATTACGGATTACCGCATTAATTCTAGCAATAGATTCCAATTAATATTTATTCAATAGGCCATTATCAAACAAATACCAATTGCAATTATAAATCAATAG